GTCATGTCGTATTTTTTAATATTGTAATACATTAGTTGGTACAAAGCTGAGCCCGGTAGATGAAATTTAGAAAATTAAGTTAGCTATATTTTTGTCTCTACATTCAACTTTGGAAAACCGCCCGTTTGGCGATATTCTGATTATTTGCAATGAAGGAAGAGCTTACAAGAGTTGAATCTCGGCGCAAAACTGTAGCAAATTTAATTTTTTAAATTTCATCTAACAAATTCAACTTTGTACAAAGCAATCTTTACGGTGGAAAACGGTATTTACTGTTTTTCACCATGAAGAACGATTTCTGAAAATTTGGTTTCAACGCATACAATTCAGAAAATTAAATTTATCACATTTTATGTTCGAGACACAAATCTCGAAAATGTCTTTTTCAAGAAGAAAACACCAATCTCCAAAATATCTTCTCAATGAGTTCATCACTTATCAAGTGATTGTCCGATATCAAGTGAGTGTCCGATTAACCGGGCCCTCCAGCCACTCAATTAAACTACTTGACAACCACCCTCTTATTAAATATATTTCGTCTTCGGAGCGAGCTTAACCGTTCGGTTAACTTGGCCGTTAACCTAGTTGTCGACCTCCCGCTCCTACTGGATTATGATAATCTAGTGCTCGGTTCACTACTAGGTTGGAACTAGCTAATTAGGTAAAAAGGTACCTTTAGCTAGATCCCTCAGGTCAATAACCGCGCGGTTATGTAGTCGATGAAGCTAGTTTTTCTCCTTAGAGCATTTTTTCTTGGATATTATTTCTACACGCGTTGTTTTTTGTCTATTTTCCATTTCAATTCCAATGTTCCTTTTGTTTTTAAGCTAGTTTAGCAAAATTTTTTGTTCATCCATTTTCCAGTTCGACATTTTACTTTTAATTTTATATGTGATTTATATATTTTCCTAAACTTTATTCTTTCATGTTCACTCAATGTTATGTGCATTTCTTGTATGTGCTGAAGAAGGCTAATATGCCGAAACGTTTACTTTATTAATTAGCGTTTGTACTCAATTCTATACAGAAGAATAGCATTAATCCAATCATTTATAACGACAAACCCTGAATTAATTCGTCCTAGAAGATATCATCCATCTGCAACAAATGATGTAACTCCCAGCCTTCTAGTAGGGATGTCCTTCTAATCCGGTCTCCCAATCAAAATTTTGTAGACATCTTCGAAAATAGTGGCATGGTAACAACGTCATGACAAGGAAAGATCAGATCCAACGTACTAGGCCAATAACTTTCGATAAAAGATGATCAGAAGAGGGCAAAATCAGAACCGAGATATATGGGATTCTACAAGATTATCAAGAAATTTAGTATGCACACATATCTTGTACAACATAAGCAACAATTCACAACACAAGATATGAATCCTCATTATTCTGTAAGTAGATAAACAAAGCATTGAAAGGTAAATATTTCAGTTTATATCATTGGTTATGATCTAGATTGGGAAGACAAATGTACGATTTACATTGATTATGATCTGGATATGTGATTAATCAGTGTTATATCGGCATTCGTGTGTGGTACATATAATTGTATTGTCATTAGTAGCATCGTTGATTTGATCTCCTAGATCGGATATCAGATAATAGTATAATTACGTTAATACATACGTGCATTTTTATTTCTTATTTATTCTAGTCATAATTATTCACTAATATTTTTTATCTATCTTACACCTACGGTTATTAGTCTGAAAGAGAGCAAGATGTACCTAAACTCTATCTATTACGAACTGGCTTCTTTTATGTACTGAAATAAGAAAGCGTGAAGGTGAAAGCGTGTTTATCTACTATTTAATACAGTTAATAATATGTAGTTATAAACATGATAATATATATTAAACTGTCAGTTTTACTTGAATACAAATATATTACCTGATCGGCTAGAATGATACGATTTGTACTTTTATTGTTATTTTTGCTTTTTCATATAATCGTTCATGGTATACATTTTTCTACATTATCTGGACGAAAACCTATATCACCATTTGAAGAAGTACTAACGAATCAAGGAAAACACCACCGTCCATTCCAAAATAAAGTTCGTCGTAGTTCTAAAAGTCTCGGTGGCTACACTACTAAAGCTAAAGCTGACTACATCGATTCGTTACCAGGTATACTCTCTTCCGAAATTAATTTTCGGCAATTCTCCGGATATTTAACTATTAGTAACAACACAAAACATATCTTCTATTGGTTTGTCGAAAGTCAAAGTGAACCTGAGAGTAAACCATTAATATGGTGGACTAATGGAGGTCCCGGATGCTCTGGTTTAATTAGTTTATTCGAAGAATTCGGACCATTCCGTGTTCAACCAGATAACGTGACCTTGCTAAAAAATCCTTATTCATGGAATCGTGTGGCTAATTTTTTGTTTGTCGAAAGTCCTATTGGTACTGGTTTCAGTTACAGTGATGTTCCGCACCGTGATTATGTTGAATGGACTGACTTACAAACCGCACAAGATAACTATTTTGCAATACAAGCATTTTTTAACAAATTTCCACAATACAGAACGCATGATTTATACCTTAGTTCGGAATCATACGGAGGGCATTCAAACTAATCCTTTACCGACATCCACAAAAATCGATGAGGACTAGTGGCAGTACCGAGCATGGCACGTTCGTCCTCCTATTGACAAATGATCGTGGACGAGAGCTGGGTATCATTATGAAGGCACGATTTCTGTGGATCTTCATAGTGAATAATCTCTTATGTACCTACATTAGCAAAACAGATAGTTGATAGAAATGCAATGATGAAGCCAAAAGATTCGACTAAACTCAATCTCAAAGGTCTCATGATTGGTAATCCTCTTAATGATCCATATTCTTTAGAATACGTTGGAAATGTTCAAGCTTTTTGGGCACATTCTCTCATCGATAAACCAACATGGGATAATGTAGTTCGGTATTGTATTGACCCTTATAATCGGGATCCATATAATTCCGAAACTGGAACTGGCTTTCAGCCGTGGTATGACCCTATGTGTATTAAATACGATACCCAGGCTAATTACTTTGTAGCACCACAACTATATAATTCTAGTTATACGCGTGGACTTGATCCTTATGTAAGTTGATCTAATCTAATTTAGCAAAATCATAATACAAAAGAATTCGATGATAAATCTGCTGTTAAAATCCAGACGATCTTTCCTATCCTCCTCTTAGGAACTGTGATTTTATTTTAGGCACTCGACGCTCCATACTGTACGTCTGCTGAAAATCAACGCGAAACGTTACGGTATCTTCGACACAAAATATCCGCATTAAAAAATAATTCATCCGTCAAGTTTCGGGCATGTGTCAACTCGTTCACACTGGTTTATCTTGGTTCGTCAGATGTGCAAAAAGCTATTCATGTTCGATTGTCTAAAATCCCTCCACATGATAGTATAGATGACAAAGCGAACAATTGGATCGATTGTTCAAGTCTGGTAGCAAATGAATATAGCATTACAAATCAGAATGCTTTTATGACTTCGCATTATACTTACTTGTTAAAAAAGAAACCTAATTTAAAAATTATTATCTACAGTGGTGATGACGACGGAGTATGTGCAACTGTGGGAACTCAATATTGGCTATACGGTATGAATCTCCCCGTTATATCTCCATTCCAACCATGGTATGACTTAGTAAAACCGGATCAAGTCGCTGGATATATGACAAAATTTAAGGGAATCTCCTTCGTTACAATACACGATTCTGGGCACGAAATTGCCCTTTATTCCCCTGCACAAGCATACACTTTTTTCAAAAATGTTATAGGGGGGAAATTTACTTCATAACTAATCTGACCTTCATTTATTAGCTGACGGAAAACTGAACTACAATTTAAATAAGCTATTTTGACATTTATATTCGCCTCTACTCTAATGCATTACAATGCGCATATCGAAACATTACAAACAGTATGTTGTTTCTGTAACTTGAGATCTATTGCTATTACATCAATTCCACTCTTACCTGGTCAAATGCTAGAATTCACCAATAAAAACTCGAATTCTACTTTTATCTAGCGAAAGCGGGAAATTCATTTGAGTAAAGTGGCGCAAGTCTAGAATTGTATCGAATTCCAGCTTCCCCTATAACATATATATAGAAAATGCAAAAAAATTGCAGTTTTTGAAAATAAGTATTTAGGTAACGGAATACATAATTTTATTTATTTTTTCCTTGACCAGAGCTCTACTGTGTTGAAAGGATTAAGATTGTTAACTGAAGTCACACATGAGAAGTTTTCTTGCTTCGATTTACCAGGTCTTGGGGACTTTTGATGGGTTATGTCATAAATGATAAATAAATAATATTTGTGTGTGCCTTTTTTATTCATTTTCAAATGCTTTGTTACGTGTCTATATTATTTTGAAATACCAGTGTAAAATATATTTGTCCGTATGGTATTCAAAAATCTATACAGTGAATGTGTACTGTGCAACGGAGAAAACGAATCGAAATGGAAAATCTGCCAAAGAGACACTTTTATACAAACAGCTAGACAGATTTCCTCACGGTGGCAGAACCATGTGGACATAGCAGAAGCTGTTATTAAATGCTCTTGTATGGCTTTAGAATTTCGTATTGTAAAACAAATACTTGTTGGACCAGAGATTTCATTTTCATTAAATGTGTTTTCACTTATAAAGCTTGAGATGACAATTTTATAAAAGTGCAAGGTGCCCGCAATTCAAAACTTAAGCAAATTCTTTTCTTCAATATTTATACATGGTTCGATGTAGCTTCTCGAGCTGAATCTGAATATCTGTGTTACAAGGTTTGAAATCAAGCTTTTAGGGCCAAAAACTCAAAATTTTCGAGTTTTTGTAAATTTGCTGTTTTTCGAAAACGAATACCTTATCTTACAGAACCTTAGACATTTTGTTTTCATGTTCTCTGTCGAAAACTGCCTTAGAAAAATATGTTTTTAAACTCGACAAAAAACTGAAGAGGGTTTTTTATTTTTGACAAAAAACCGCCCGTTTTTCATTTTGCATCTGTCACGAACGCTTTTTCGTTTTTTGGATATAAAAAACAGAAAAGCGTTTTTTAAAAGGTTTATTGATCTCAATATACCCTTTTTGATAGTTTATTAATCTACGACTATTTTTTACAGTGTATGTGCCCCTTTTTTTTGATTACTGTTTTTCGTTGAGATACAGGTATTTCTTTGACGATATCTTCAATCGGGCAAGTCATTCTCGGGTAAAATTTACAGTTTAGGAATAAAATTAGTCAAACCAACTCGAAACAGGTAAATCGGAAGCTGAATCTAATGGTGACATTTACAGGATCTCTGGCAGATTTTTAGGAGGTCTCTGGAAACTCCTGGCTCAAAAACTGGTCGAAATTTTTTTAAAGTAAAAATGTATACCGAATCTCGGCGTCATCTATTGCTTGGTCATGAAGGGTATAAGCGTACGCGCGACTGGTCGTGTGATAGCCAGCCGTTTTCTATCTGTATCTGTAGTTGAGCGGGCGAATATTTAATCTTCTAATAAATATTATTAGAAGATCTGATTATTTATACAGGAACGGCAGATGAAATCAGATTGCGCTTGCTGAAGATGAATACATGTGTGATAGATCGCAAAGGCTTTCGACTGAGCTATTGTTATGTAAGGAGATTCCCTTACATAAGCAACCAAGTCAGATATCCTTATATAAGATGCTACATTGCATCATCTCGTTTCATCATCTCGCATTCCATCATCATCTTATTTCGTCAGACTTTCCTCATCTTCTATCGTGATTTCAGGACTATAAATAGACTTCTGTGCTAACTAAGAGTCAGATTGTAAGAGTATACTTTTCTGTGTTTCTTTATCTTAGTATTTTCTAAATAAACATTTAAAATCAAATCCAATTCGGTGATATAAATCAAGCAATCTGTAGTGACAGCAAAGCCTTACAACTATTGTGAATAGAGCCACATAGGAGCTACAGCGGCCACAAACAATAGATGAGGAAGCTAAATCTTTGTTTGTTCGACTTTCCCAAGGACAGAAACAGGACGACCCCCCTGCCCCGAGAAAAAGATCGGCCAGTCCTATCTTACATTTTGTAATCCTCGGTATTGTCTCGAGAGCAGAATGCGATAAAATAAATCTTTAAAAGAAGCTTTCGTGACCTATAAATAAATCAGATAAATTAATCGTAGGACAAATGATCAGTAATGGCTTGAATAGCACCTTTATCCCATATGAACCGAACAGGTCTTTTGAGGAAAAAATTAGGAAATAGCTTTTTATTTGTTCTCTATTCAAATCAACATCTCTATAGTGCAAATATCAGTATCAATCAACTGGAGTGCACTGAATCAGCTACAGCTGTCATTTGTCACAAATACTGAGATAAAGAGAAAACATCAAGGAGTGGAAACATACTTTTTATGGGAGACAGAGAGGACGAAAGCAGTTCAAAATTGTTCGTCTTTAACTCTTGACTCTAACGAAGAGTTTTCGAGATAAACTGAATTAATAGACTTTTTGGGCTTAAAACATGGATTTTTTCAAAATAATAGCTTCACGATCATAAAAATGGCGCAATCATAAATTAGAGGAGAAAAACATTATACAAACAATTGTACACATTTTTCTTGGATCGCCGAATTTCCACGATTTCTCGTACGCCAAACTCAAAACACGCATTTTATTTATCAGCATGTTTAGGTTTAGTGAAAAGATAAGAAAAGTCCAGATAAAATAATCAAGTTCGAGGTTGTCGTTACGTACTACTTAACAAAAATTGACAATAGTGTGATCAATTTGAATTTTATGTCTTAAAATCTGAGATTTTCAAAAAAGTAATACAAAAGTGAGACCGGATGTCTGGAAGACACATAAAAAGTGATCTTCGATTTTGAAAATCTCGCTGTTGGAAATAGCGTATTGTAAAACGTAGAAAAAAAAGTGTTTATTTATAATTCTTGGGTACATTGATAAAACAAATATCCAAATTCCCACGGAAAATTCGCTGAAACTTTCGACAGATTCTGCGTGATCGAAAATTCTTTCACGGAAGAACTTAAAAACCATATACACTTCGACGCAGTTTTATGCGCTGATTACTAATATGTTATTTCTATTGACCAAAAGCCTTTCTGAACCAATAAATAATGGAAAATGCCTGAAAACCCTGCTGTAATGTCCACGGACGTTTATGCTAATTTATGCTTTCTGTGCTGATGCAGGTTATACAGAAGGACATTCTGGTAAAGTTTGTGCAGATTTTTTTTGGTTCTAAGAAGTGCGCATTCATTTTACTAAAATATAGCGGTTTGGACCAGCCATTGCAGAAATGTTTATTATATTTCTCAAAAGTGATATCACAAAATAAAACATTTTTTTCACTAATCGATATAGCAGAGAATGCGCGGATTTAGAATACGAATGGCTTTTGCCAGTTAGTCGGCTGCGTCTTGGATAAAATTATTTTTTCATAATATAGCAGTAATTTCAGTCTAATTTTGGATCATCAGATGTTTTGTAAACTTTATAATAAAACTTTTTACGTCATCAGATAGAGCATATTTTGAAATATATTACTCACTATTTGAATGATTGAAGACTTGATTTTCATTTTTTCTTATTTTTCTTTATTGTGGACAAAGTTATTTGACTTCGTATTATTTTCAATTAGAATATTTTTAAGGTAAAAGCAAGTATGTATTTAAAAAGGATTAGAGAAAATAGAAAAATCTTTACACAAATAATTTGTACTATTTATACCGTCATTAGTTTAGTTATTTTCTACTTTGTTAACTGTTGCACTAAAAGACATCGAAAAGATAAAAAGGCTTCGGTTTTGAAAATAAATTAATATGCCTTCTGTTTTTCTGTTGGATATCGATGTCCCAAGAATCTGTAACATAATTAATAGCAATACCTTCAGAAGCTACTAGACCAGATTGTTCATTTAAACTTGACTCATTAACCGATGAAACTGTGATTCATTACTTCAGATGATGGTTCATTTATTTTAAAATTCAAACCGTTGTGATCTTCATATCACGAAAGTTCTTGTTACTAACAACATTGGTCACAGAATGAGTAATTATCCTTTATATAAAGCGCATTTCGCACTCTTTGATGTTAATTCTAACAAGGAGTACATTTACTATAACCCTTATTCGCAGTAGTGTATACGACTTCCAGTTTCTTTCTTCTTGCCCAGTACGAGTCTTATGAATTTTAATATATTAATTTAACACATAGTTTTTGTTTTAGTTCCTTTTCTCGATATTGAGGTTAATGATGTCATTTATTGATTTCTATGCTTGTATTTTAGTGAATTCTATACGTATCAACTGTTAATCTTCTACATCCAGTTTTATTTTGTTTATATCATTTACTGTACAATTTCTGGAATTTTCTAAAATACTGTTTGATATCCATTCTGTTCTTCATTAACCGATACACACTAACAAAAACACATTTTACGAAAATCATTTAATTGAATCATTTTGTAAGGTGAAGAATTTAAGAATAGATAATAAGACGGTATGGTGTTTGTCTTATTATCTATTCGAAAATCATTTAAATTTCCTGAGTTAAAAATGCAAGTTTATTGCTGAATAAACATATAATAAACAATAAACTGCATTTTTCACTTGAAAAACGAATTCAGTTCAAAACATATTTCTGCTCAAAATTTTTGAAAAGCCGAGATGGTATTTTGATTTGTACGTCAACATGAACAGCTCAATGACTCGTTGATTCCAATCTACGAACTAAGTGGCACTCAATATGTCCAGAGTTTTTTTTTAAGTGTAGTTTCCACGAAATTGGTCATGAAATTCATCCGATAGAGTGGTCATCTTTTTGATCGTTGCGCACGTGTCCTTTCCAACTGTTCAATACCATCAATAATTATCCGCTGATGGCCACTGGTGATTCCGATATCACTGAGAAAAGGATTGTCAACAAATCTGAGAAGACGAAAACCGTCGATGTCGCGCTCCTTGAACTCACGTGAATAAGGTGCATAAATCTCATCCAGTGACTGGACCCAACGACAAACATCTTTACTAGACCACATTAAGATTCTGTTGAGATCGAGTGCTATAAAAAGAGACAGCATTATGAAAGATTTTCCACACCAGACCTCGAGGATGCTCTTCAGAAAAACTGTTCGAAATCATATGGTGTGAATATTCCCCTCAATTCGAAACTTTTGTCATATTAGTTTAATCACAGCAATTTTTGAAGTTTTAGAAAAATGTTTTTCAAAACTTGTTTTACTTCCGAAATCCAAAATTCCCGAACTCTGGTTCTTTACATTCGTGGAGTCTTTTGGAATCTCAACATACCTTCTTCTTTTTTAGGAGATGGAATGATAGGAGCATCGAACCCTTGGGGCATCAAAGGGGACAGTCCGTACATCTGTCCTTCATAAGCAATCCACTTGCTCAAACAGTTGATAAAATTTCTGGCATATATGTGTTCGACCCATTTCGTGGGTAGATTCTTGTATCCATAGTAGGCACCGGCTAACTGACCATAAATGGCAGCCGTTGTGTCCGTATCATCGCCAAGGTTGACGGCAGCGAGAACACCCTTTTCGAAGGAATCTTCATTGGACCAAAAAGCCCACAAAGCGGCTTCGAGAGCATTGACAATGTATCCTTTGCCTCGAATGCCATCTTCGTATCCGCCCTCCTTCTGGTAAGACCCTTGGGCAATTTTCAGGATCTCTGGATGTAGTGGTTTACTGCTGAACCATTCTTCGTGATTGGAGTAAAAATCTTTGTTGAGCAGTTCACTTTTTTTCTTGCCCTGCAGAGCGCCCACGATTAGAGCACCATAGTAACGGCAGGCATCATTGGCACTCTGATCACCATGGGTTATCAGTCCGCTGAGTCCCGAAAATTCGACGGCTTGGGTGGGATGTTTGTAGAAGAAGAGTGGCACAGGAGCCAGTCGCATCAAAGCTCCGTTACCAGCTACGCCTTCTTTGCTACAGAGCACATTGAACTCATCAAGAAGACGAAGGTCTGACAGAAAGTCCAATTGTTCAGGAGCAATGTGGTGTTCCTTAGCAAAGTATTTCTGACGACGCTCAAATTCACGCAGCGAGTCGCTGGTGGCCGTACCAATATCGAAACATTTTCCTGTGGAGGACATGTAACCATCCCTGTACCACCATTTGTATCGAACCAGCTGATCATAGGGAATGAAATCTCGACGAGCTACCAGTGAGTTTGCCAGACAAAGAGCCATGGAGGTATCGTCGGTGAACTAAAACACTTACTTCTTATAGTTCTATCGTCAAATCACTGATTTATTTTCGAAACACTTTTTTTCGAGAAGACAAACAGAAAGGTCAGACAAACAGAATCGGTGAGAGCAAGAAATCTGTTACTTTGTTTATATTTTTTGAATTCTCTACACGTTCAATGTATGGATTCTTCTTTTAAAACCTAAACCAAAAATACGGATCATATTGGACATGGAGCAAATAATAGCGAATTTTTCTGTTTTACACTATCTAAAATCGAATGCAAAAAACTCTTCTTTTCTCATTTTGATATCCGTTCCCGAATAGCCGCATTCTATTGAAGAACATTAATACGTTTAAACAGTAAGTGAATGAAGCATTCCGACAAGGAAATGCGTCTCAAAACTTGAAACGACTGAACGACAGTGATTTTGTTGTAAGATGCAAATAATGCAAAAAGGGAGCAGAATTTTTTTCTTAACTTATTATACACCATTCGATAGAGCTTTTTGAGCTGATCCCGAATATGTGATTCTTAGTTTTTCGAAACGTTTCTTTCATGTCGAAAACTCGAAAAAATCACGATTTTGAAAAACGTTCTGTTTTTCAACTTGAGCTTTTAGTCGAAACGTTCATATTATTTTTCTCTTCTTTAGCATTGAAAACTGAATTAAAAATAATATTAGATTCATTTTGGAGATAAACGCCTAAAACCTATAAAATGGGCGAATGGAAAATAAGGATGAGTCATTTTGCAAAGCTATCTAGTTTTTTGCATGATGAGCTGGAACCTCAGTTTTAGAGTCATTATATCCACCTTGAATCCATCTTTAAAAGTACAGTTGGACTTAAAAGTACTTTTTTAAAATTTTGTTTTATGGCTGAGAAAATTCATTTTTTCTAAATCAGAGGAGGAAAAGTCGGAATTCTACCCATAATTCTCAATTTTCTCCAGCAGAACTCAACTTGTATCTGGTAAAAATTCAGAATCAGGATGAAAACGCGAATCGATTGATGTGTATTTCAAAAGTTTACGCTGATTTTCATTTTTTCGTGAAAATCTCGATGCTTTTTCCACGTAAAAATTAGAAAAAAATCAAAGTACTCAGATGGGTTAGAGATTAGTCGATTCACACATTAGTCGATTCGTTTTTTCATCCTGATTCTAAATATGACATTTTTATCAGATACAAGTTGAGTTTTGCTCGAGAAAATTGAGAATTACTTTTCCTCTGATTTGAAAAAAATGAATTTTCTCAGCAACAAGTTGAGAAACAGAATGTCTTTCAAAATCGTGAGTTTTTCGAGTTTTCAGCATGAAAAAAACGTTTCGAAAAATTGAGAACTACATATTCGTGATCAGCTCGAAAAAGTCTATTGAGTGGTGTATAATAAGTTAAGAAAAAAATTCTGTTCCCTTTTTGCATTATTTACACTTTTTTGTCTAGTATGAAAGCTGGCCCATCGTTATTCACAGTTTAATCCAGTAAGGATTTCGTTACACGCTTCTTTTCTTAAAGTAAGCGAGGTTTTTATGAAAATATTCATTTGAACGAAGACTTGTCTTGACGCGTAATCTGGTGAGAATTGTAACCACTGTTGAGCAAAAGAGTTATATTTTAGGCCGAAATATTCAGCAAGAAGACAGTTTCACAGACTTAATCTGAACTTCGGTGGAAGTTAATCAAGTGAGAAGTAAGAAGTTCATGTGGAGAGAAGATACCTGTCCTTTATTGAGACTCCATGTTCCTCCTCCTTGAAGATCAGTCACTGGATGTTCGAGTAGATATTGTCGAGGTCGAAATTCGACATGAGCACCGAGGGCATCACCTAAGGCCATTCCAACCATCGAACCTTGAATGCGATCCAGTATATCCTCATTAACACTACCTGGAGGATCTTGCATCTGGTTCTCTAGTTCGTCGGGCTTCATGATTGATTGGCGATTATCCCGGTGATATTGACGATCGAGCCAAAGTTGTTCTAAACACACATGTTCTTTACAGTGAATTAGGTCACTCAGATACCTTTAAAAAGCTTTTTTGCGATGAACATGGAAGTATCTTAATATCAACAGAAGATCTTTATATTTGACCTGTTCGAAATTGACAAGCAGGATGGCGCGGTAATGTTTCATTCATTCCTAAAACAAATGAACAAAATCATCGTCACAAATATCAGAGATACTCACTGCCAAAGCAGCAATCAACTGAAAAACAGCAGAAAAGGAGTCAATTACGAATGGATAAGTCTTTTTCATCGTCGATGGGGTCCACTAGACCTGTTTGGTCTAGTGAAGTCTGATTTCCATTTACTGCTTGGATGTTCTGCGATTCGGTGCTTTGTATGTCTGCCTCTTGATCGTCATTGTTGTCTAAAGTGGTGGAGAAATGGGTAGAAAGTTGTTTCTTTTCTTCTTTTTTAGCTGATGCGGCACCTGATATGAGTTTACCAATATGGTCAGTATTTCTCGAAATTGCTGGATGTTGACGATCAGAATTCATTGGCTCTGTGTTCTCCTTGTCAGAAGACAGATGATTGTTGAAATTGTCTTCCATGATCTCTCGTAGAAAATGAGCTGATCTACAAACAGCACATAACGATGGGTGCTTGCTCTAATCTATCCTCTCATTTTCCTACACGTTGAAGAAAATTAGGCAAAGAAGATACATTACTCGTCGAAAAGATCTTTTCTCCCAAATTCAAACTCCCACTCCTATTCGACATCGAAGAGTAAAGGACGCGGCCTGTTTGTCTTGCCTGCCGTCTTGTCGTCGTTGTTAAGAAATTTTTAGTGGTTGTGAATGAAACAACAATCCTTCTGTCCTCTTTTCTTTTTCTTCTTCTTATCCGTGCACGTTTTAGAACACAAAACCATGAAAAAAGTAATATATTACAAAGGTAAAGAAACGACACAGAGGAAGCACTGAAAGAACACAGTGAAACTGATCAAGAAACGTCGGGTATTCTGACATAGTTTATGAGACCTGTATGAAAAACTGACTATAAGTTATGAATACATGAACTCCAAAATTAGAAAACGAAGTTTACTTTTCGAATATATTATGTTGATATGTGGCACACTGTCGGCAATTCAAACACTCTGATAGAAACAACCATGAAAACAGATGAAAATACACAAGAATAAAGAGTGCTATGTTTTGAGAGCGATCGTAATGTCACATTAAAATACTTCGTTTAGATGTAAATTTGACTTAGGTTTTCTTTCATAGTACTGTAACGAGAAAAATTCTTTTTTTAAATATCTTTCGTGTTTCAAGTGATTGATAATGTTGAAGTTATTTTTATGACAGAAAAAAGAAAGAGAAAGGCATGTATAGACTAATGATTAGTGGTCGATTTTTTTCTTTTCTGTGTCACCTTATCATAAAATATAAAAAATGGGGTGGGAACAAAAAAACTGCTATGTGTCTGTTCTTTATGACTCTAAGCAAAACGTTTTTCGTAAAAATGCGTGTAGTTTGCACAGGAGAAGTTGAGTAAATCGGCAACATTATCGCTACGTTGCGTATCCTTTTTAACGCTTTGCCACCTTTTTTCTACTCAGTGCGCGAGTATGACTCCAGTTGTCTTCAGTCTTTAGTTACTTACCTTAAAGCCTTTAAAAGGTTGTCATCTTCCAGCTGTCAGGAGGATGTTATTCTGTCTCTAGATGCCGCTCAGAAACTCAGATGGCTATTCTAATGGCCCGGGTTCTCAGGATCCTCTCTTGATTGAAATGTTGACAGAAATTAGAGGAACTAAGAATGATCACCTACTCCCCTCCCCAATCGAATGAATAAGTGTTCGACGATGTATGTACTCTTTTTAAATAAAAATAAATAAAAAAAACCAAAGTGCAAATAATATCAATACAGAAAATATATACGCGATGTGTGTAGCTAGATAAAATCAAACAAAGTAAATGTATTACTGACGGTTTTATCTGTATATCACGAAAAAGAAGACACATCAGCACATGATGAATGAGAAAAAGAAATAATATAAACTGAAGGGTAAAGAACAGAAACAGAATATAACTAACTAGAAAAAGAAGGATCTACTGTCGACTATCTCTGATGTTGTATAGGAGAGAGTGGATCCTGACAAAGGTTCTCATTAACTCTCAGATCTGCTCTTGGTATATTGACATTCTTTGACTTTTTTACGTTTCTTATAAAACTAAGTATATTTAATATAATTGAAAAACATTTATGTAAAATCATTTTACACAAGAAGTGAGCTTTCGATACTTCACAGTATCATCAGCAGGCTAATATGATTGTGAATTTAGAAGAGAGATGAATATACATACTAGTTAAAACAGCGAAGAACGAAAATACTAGAAAAACTAAAACACAGAAAAATATGTAGTATAGAATCGAGTGACGGTTACATTTTTCTATTCTGGACTGTTATTTTCTAGACTGTCTAATCGAATATCACTACTGTGAAGTATCGAAAGCTCGTTTCTTGTGTAAAATGATTTTACAAAAATGTTTTTCAATTATATTAAATATACTTGCTCTTGGTACTTTCATACTTAAGTGACTGAAATATGATGTTCGGAGGTCCATCGTGCTGATCGAGACTATACATCATCCGCGTCATCCTGATTCTGTCGCTCTGGTGAATCCTGCCTACTAGTTATCTGATATTGTCAATTATTTTTCTTTTACAGTCGCAGATTCTGTAGAAAGTCATAGTTTAGTTTTTCTTTTGGATATGTTCAATAATCGTTTGCATCAGAAAAATGCTGTTGTACATGTCCTAGAATACCATACACGTAAAGCAGCCTTTGACTTCGGCTTTGCTTTTAATGACACCCATGATAACGCAGTTGTAAACAACGGAAGTATTGAATTAGGATGATGATGATGTTATACCAGAGATCAATTCTATGAGCTGCTAAAAATGACATCACGATGACAACAGATGATAAGCCACATGAACGATTTCATGTTCGTATACAACTGGCCTTTGATTTACCAGCACTCGTACAAATTTGCAACGTCACTCAGTCCAATGGATACGAGGCATGTGTTGATTGTACAATTCATGGTAGTCCAGTTGGTAAACGAGTCTTTTACCCATATTCAGCAACGCCGTCACTACTACAGACAGATGATGACTATTAAAGATTATCAGCACCAAATTTATCCAAAGCGACATTGGGTATCAAAGGTCCGACATCACTTGCAAAAATATTTCTGTTTCCACCACAAATAGTCAAAGACTACATGCCTCTCGTATGCAGTGATCGTGTTAAAACACTGTGAATTATTCGCCAAATCTCCTGTTACGACAAATATTTGATCTAGGTTCAAGTTATCTTTTATCAGTTATTTCACCACATTCTTTTGGTTACCAGTTCATGCCATTAGTTCAATATTCACACTGGAAAACAAAAACGTTTAGGTAGGAGAAGATAGTCGATAATCTCAACTTTGGTCGAAACTAAAAATGTCGAAAGAAAAAATAGCGAGAAGAATAATGTTCGAAAAAAAATGATACAAATGTCAACAGGTAAAAACATCGAAAGGTAAAAATGTCGATAGATAGTTTAGCATGGTTTTAATTGAGTAGATACATAGATAGGAGTTCAAATTGAATAAAATTTATTTATTAGAAAGAAGAACGAATGAAAGACAAGTAAAAAAGATTTTATTAAATCAATTGATCAACGTTAAGTTCCGACCTAAATCATTTCTTTTTTGCCACAACGAAGGACAAACCAGTAAGAAGTTCAGATGCAGTAATTAAATAATCACTATATCGATTACATAAAGTATCTATTCGACTTTTTAATGCCGTTGTACGGTTATTTTTTTTCTTTGATGCACCGGAGAACCATTGAAGACGAATGTTTTGTACGCGTTTCTCTTCTGCTTGCATGAAGGTGATCAGTTGCCAAACACTTGGATGATTTCGTTGAAGGCGAGAATTTATTCGGTTGTGATAACCTTACATTAAAAAGGAAAAAATAAGCCATTTATTTGATAAACTATATTCACTACCTTCACACGTGTTATTAGTGCGGCTATCAAATCAAGGGGGAAAAAGCGGATCCGCGGATCCGGGTTTCCGCATGAATCCAAAAAGATCCACATCGATCCAGAAAGATCCGCATGGATCCAAAAAGATCCGCATGGATCCAAAAAGATCCGCATGGATCCCTAATTATCTGAAATTTGGTATAAGAGTAGAAAGGCCTTCTGTGACATTTTTATACATTTTAAACAGATAAGTAGGTCAAAACGAATATTTTCTATTTAAATATATGCCTTTCTGTTTAAATGTGTATATTTTTGCACGGATTTCGATGATTTTATATAAAAATATTAAACGAAGAATAAAATAGATAGATATGTACGGTGTTAAAATAACAGAAAATGATAATAATAGAAAATAAAAAACAAACAAATAAAGAAATAAAACAAATGATTTGTAAAAAAAAAGTTGATTTGTATCAACTTGGTAAGAGTTCATCTTACAGATTTATTTTCACTTAACGTTGTTTTTGCTGTACTCGTAGGAGTCTATCGGATGATAAACGGTTTTTATCGCTCATCAAATACCAGCATGCAGTTTGTTTGTGCATATATTTTACATTGTTGTCAATTTTTATGGAAAAATAGGCTTCTTTATTAGCCTCATTGATTTCATCATAAATTCTCATTCCGTTGAATGCTTTTCTAGCTGTTGTTAGTGTCGAATTCTGATTGTCATTGTTGCCATTTTCTTCTCCATCAGCATCATTCAATTCTTCGTTTTCATCTTCATCAGATATTGTCAATTCAACGACAATAATAAATGATGTTTCAACGATTTAAATCTAAATTCGCATTCAGTTATTTGAACATTGGTGCATTTCATATAAGATTCTATTGTTGCTATTGATGGTGTGGCACCAGGTAAATTAATTCTTACAAACTCATACGCGTTTCGGCCTGCCAATATGTACAATGATAATGCAAAACGTTTAAAATACTCATTATATTGATAATTATTTTTAGATCGTTTCAAATTATTAACAATATTCTCAATGAACGCTTTCATGAATGTATTGTCCTCATTATTATGTGCATCAACTATTTGTTCCAATAAAGCACCATTTTCAGTATTATCATTTGATTGAATTACATGTTTGTCTTCATTAACCTTCAATTTCAACGAATTAATCAAAAAGTCAAAACTCTCCCTCACGCCCGGTCTAATAATGTAATCTCCATTGTTCAAAGTAAACCCTGCACGTTTTTTCAAATGTGCTAATTCATCACAATCAAGATACAATATGTCTAGCGCATTTTCGACACACAATAATATTTGAGCAGAGTTTATCTCCTGTAATTGTAATATATCCACAACAATATCACTCGTTATATTACGTACATAATCAAAAAACTTTTGGTTCTTGTAAAATAAAATATCGGCTGGTGCATGTAAAACGTCACTCATCCTAAAATTATTTTGATCTAAAAAAGTTGGCATATTTGTCATCATACATTTTTTAGATGAAGTTCTGGGTTAATTTCTTCAAAAGCACCGGTAGCAACTTGTAGAGAAGTTGAGAGACTACGGTTTGTCCAATGTAGAATATATATTGCGGACCAAATTCCAATTTAAAGTTTGACCAGAGTTTATTCCGTCGGAATCTAAATAAAAACATAATGCTGTAAAGATCCATGAAAAAATTAATATTTTCTTATAATTATCCATTTTTATGATAGAAAGGCAAGAAGGCTTGAGAAAAGGTCAAATTGAGGTATAAAATCATGTTCATAGTTCCTCATCATCATAGTTTCTCGTATTCCGCACTCGGTTTTGACAGATTCTTGTGGCTTTAATATTTACGATTGTAAGATTGCTGGTTTAACGTTGGATTTGACAACTGCATGAACTGTACATCCTCCTTTATCTAACTCGATATATTATTATTAAAAACCTGTAGATCTGACCATTTTCAGACTTGATGTTGCGGACATTTCTTCTGTTCTTGGTGATATTCATTCTATAAGAACTTTTCCTGAAATTAAAGTTACTTTTTCTAAAAGATTTGAACACACTGTTTACTTCTTTTTAACATAACACATTTAATTGTCGCAAAGAAAGGTTGAAAACGTAAAAAAATAGTGATATCCAAAAGATGGAGTTATTATTTTTTATTAGACTTGGTGAATATTTTATTGACTAGAATTTAAAAAAATAGGTTTAGATCTCTGAGGATCTTCGAAGGGCCACGAGAAACCTTTTATATTTACATTAGATTACGAACCTTAAATATCAAATGAGAGAAGAATTCATAACATATTTAGATATTTTAGATAGTTACCTTGTTTAAATAAACAAGAGGTTCAACAAGAGGTACTTCACTTCTCGTGAAATGAATGCCACAAACTCATGTACATGGCACCCAGTGAATAAGTGACGCGTTTTCCATTCACTACAGAAGAAA